GAAGTATCCAACTTTACATTCGGGTACATCCTAAAGTTAGTGTGACAACCAGAAGTTCTCACAATTTTCATCGCAAGTTAGACAAGTTCCATTTGATGAAAGAATTCCTGACTTACAAGACAAACAGTTTGAAAAAGAGCCTGAGCATGTGAGACAGTTGGAGTCGCAAGTTTTACAAATACCATTTTCCGAATAAAATCCATCAACACATGAATCACATTTTGTTGTATTTGAAATGCAATGCCCAGCATTGCAATTATCACAAAAAATACACTGGTAGTTCCATAAATACTTTGAACCCAATTCACAAGACGTACATATCGTCGAATTGTCTTTGCAAGTTTGACATGTTGAAGAACATTGAAAACACGTGTAAGATGTTAAATAATACCCATCAATACATGAATAACACTGATCAATTGTAAGTCCAAAGCAGTCGGAGCATATACTCGTGCACTTCAAACAATCTTTCTTTTCTAAATAATATCCCTTAATACATGTGTTGCATTCTCCATTGTATCCAGAGACACAGAGTGCATTTTCAAACTTTACACACCCACCATTATTTGAGTAAGACCCATCTTCACAGACATAACATTTTAAAGAGTTTTCACAAATTTTACAATTTGTTGAACATGGCTGACATGTTTGATTATATTCCCCATAATTATCATCAAGATATTTCCCAATTTTACACCGAGTACAATTTGTTCTTTCGGGACCATTACACTCGTAACATTCATCGTGACATTTGTTACATACATTGTTAGATAGATAATAATTTGGTCAGGGTCGGCTAAACGATCATGTTATAGAAAAAAAACTTAAAAAACAATAAAATGGTAAATAACATTATCATTTTTGAAAAACAAAAAGAAAATGACAAAACATGATTTTTTATACCAAAAGATAAAATGAAAAATATAAAACGATAATTTATATTGAACACCAAATTATTTTCAAATTATTTTAAAATACAACAACAAACATATATATTTGTGTTGATATAAGTGTACATTAAAACCTTTCAATTGTAAATTATACATGTAAATATAATTTATTTAAAGTTGCTTTAATATTTGTATTTTTTTATTCCGGTGATAATTATTATTTTGACTGATTATTATCGTATTATGAATAAACGTTTTTAAGAAGATATTTAACTAAAGATAAGTTTTACTGTTTCGAAAGTAATGTGGTTTACTCCATTCGAAAAAAAATACATTGTTTGTTTTATATTATTGCAAAAGATAATAAAATTACTTCTATTTGATTGTTTAATTTATACTTTAAATTAAAAAGGACATGAATAAACTATTCAAAACCTCTGTTAAACTGACAAATATACATATATATACATTAACAATTAATAATAATGTGTATGTTGAAAAGGTATATTAATTGATTAAATAAAAATTTTGAGTTGAAATCACTAAAATGATTTCTAATAATTATTATTTTTATTTGTAAGTATTTTCTGTGTATACAACAATTATAATGAGTGAATATTGTTATTTAATTTCAAAAACTTTGCATTCTATAATTTCACATGCTTTTTACTGTTCAATTGTTGTTCTTTAAAACCGGATTATAACACATTGTAATGATGATTTATACAATACAAAAATTTTGTTTAAATCGTTAACTATAGTTTTATCAATTTTTAAAAACATTTTAACTCTAAAAAACTTTTTAAGTTTTTTGTTGACAACATGCTAAAACTTAAAATGAACTGACACGTATTAGAGATTGCCACGAAGTTGTTTAAAAACTGGATCTTGGCCGACCCTGATTTGGTTCACATGTTAAACACGTTGAACCTTTACAATTAAAGCAATTTAAAGGACATTGAAGACAAGACCCATTAGTTAAATAAAAACAGTTATTACATTTATCACAATTGTTTGTATAATTACCACTACAACTGATACAATTTAAATCACACAAGAGACAATATCCATTTATATAATTGAAACCATCAATACATGCCAAGCAATTATTTTCAGCAGTTCCATTACAACCATTACAATTTGGACTGCATTGGAGACAATACCCGTTTGAGTAATAATAATTGGGTTTACATGTTAAACAATTTCCAGGCCCACTCGAACTACATGTTTCACACTAATAATCACATTTTAAACAAGACCCGTTTGAATACACGTAATAATAATAAATACAAGATAAACAATTGTTGGAATTTGGTCCATTACATGTACTACATGAAGAGTCACACTTTTTACAATAACCAGACTATAAATAATAATTACTATAACACATAATACAATTGTTTTCCAATGAACCATCACAAGCATTACATGTAAGATCACATTGAAGACAATATCCATTACTTAAATAATAAGAAGATTTGCATGTTGTACAATTATTAGGTCTGGTGCCATCACAGGTCGAACAAGATGAATCACATTTCAAACATAATCCGTTGTCTAAATAATAAGAAGACTTACAATATGAACATTTGTTTGGTTCAGTTCCATCACAATAATCACACGATAGACCACATTTCAGACATGTGTTTACAGACTGATAATAAGAATTTTGACACGATGTACAGTTGGTAGAAGATCCAAAACAGGTCATACATTCAGAAGAACATTTTAAACACGTGTTATTTCCTTGTAAATAGTACCCGATACGACAACTGTAACATTCTGTATTTGATCCACCATAACATGTTTGACACCAATTGTGACAACTTAAACAGTTGCTCAAACCATACTTGAAAAATCCACTATTACATGTAAGACAATCATCGGATGTCCCATTAAAACACGTCGAGCACTGATATGAACAAATCAAACACTTTGTATTTTGAGTAAAGTAATATCCGTTTATACAAGATGAACATCCATAAGAAGTATCATTAAAACATGTTTTGCATGAAGAAAAACAAGTATAACATGAATAGTTTGATAAATAAAACCCAGAAATACACGACACACAAGAAGTTGTATTGACACACTGTTTACAATATGAACATGACGTTTTAATAATTTCTTTTTTGATTGAAACAGTTTTATAATGATGTTCAACCAATGTAAACTTATCAAATAGTTGGGAAAATATGTAGGTATCATTATTCATATCAAAATTTAAATT